AGAGGCCCATTGTGAGGTCGTCCATTGTGACGTCGTCCATTGTGAGGTTGTGCATTGTGAAGCCACAAGAGGCCCATTGTCAGCTCCTGCATTATGTGTCGTCCATTGTGAGGTCACGAGAGGCCCTTTTTTATGCAGTCCGTTGTGAGGTCGTCTGTTGTGAGATCATGAGAGGCCCATTGTGAGGTCATCCATTGTGAGGTTGTCCGTTGTGAGGTCGTCCCTTGTGAGGTCACGAGAGGTCTGTTGTGAGGTCGTCTATTCTGAGGTCACCCACTGTGATGTAGTCCATTGTGAGGTCATCCATTGTGACATCGTTCTTTGCGAGGTCACGAGAGGCCCATTGTGAGGTCATCCATTGTGAGGTCGTCCATTGTGAGGTGACGAGAGGCCCATTGCGAGGTCGTGCATTGTGATGTCGTCCATTGTGAGGTTGTCCGTTGTGAGGTTGTCCCTTGTGAGGTCACGAGAGGTCTGTTGTGAGGTCGTCCATTCTGAGGTCATCCACTGTGATGTAATCCATTGTGAGGTCACCCATTTTGACATCGTTCTTTGTTATCTCACGAGAGGCCCATTGTGGGGTCATCCTTTGTAAGGACACGAGAGGCCCTTTCTGCTGCAGTCCATTGTGAGGTGGTCCACTGTGAGGCTTTCCATTGTGATGTCGTCCATTGTGAGGTCATGATAGACCCATTGTGATGTCGTCCATTGTGAGGTCGTCCATTGTGAGGTTGTCCATTGTGACCTCACAAGAGGCCCATTGTGAGGTCGTCATTGTGACGCTCCATTGTGAGGTCCCAAGCGGCCCATTGTGAGGTCCTCCATTGTCACGTCATCCAATGTGAGGTCGTCCATTGTGAGGTAATGCATTGTGAGGTCACAAGATGCCCATTGTGATGTCATCCATTGTGAGGTCATCCATTGTGAGGTCACTAGAGGCCCATTGTGCGGTCGTCTATTGCGATGTTGTCCATTGTGAGGTCACTCTATGCTCAAGGAGATGTCGTTCATTGTGAAGTTACAAGAGACCGATTGTGAGGTCCTCCATTGTTAGGTCACAAGAGGCTCATTGTGAAGTCATGCATTGTGAGGTTAATCCATTGTGAGGTCATGAGAGGCACATTGTGAGGTCGTCCATTGTGGAGAGGCCCATTGTGAGGTCGTCCATTGTGAGGTCGTCCATTGTGAGGTCACGAGAGGCTCATTGTGAGGTCATGCATTGTGAGGTAATGCATTGTGAGGTCATGAGAGGCACATTCTGATGTCATCTATTATGAGGTTGTCCATTGTGAGGTCACGAGAGGCTCATTGTGAGGTCATGCATTGTGAGGTAATGCATTGTGAGGTCATGAGAGGCCCATTGTGAGGTCGTCCATTGTGACGTCGTTCACTGTCAGGTCACGAGAGGCCCATTGTGAGGTCGTCCATTGTGACGTCGTTCACTGTCAGGTCACGAGAGGCCCATTGTGAGGTCGTCCATTGTGACGTCGTTCACTGTCAGGTCACGAGAGGCCCATTGTGAGGTCGTCCATTGTGACGTCGTTCACTGTCAGGTCACGAGAGGCCCATTGTGAGGTCGTCCATTGTGACGTCGTTCACTGTCAGGTCACGAGAGGCCCATTGTGATGTCGTTCATTGGGAGGTCGTCCTTTGTGAGGTCGTCAGAGGCCAATTGTGAGGTCGTCCATTGTGAGGTCATCCATTGTGTGGTCATGAGAGGCCCATTGTGAGGTCACAAGAGGCCCATTTTGAGGTCACCTTTTGTGAGGTCGCGAGAGGCCCATTGTGAGGTCGTCCATTGTGAGGTTGTCCATTGTGCGGTAGTGCATTGTGAGGTCACAAGAGGCCCATTGTCAGGTCGTCCATTATGCTGAGGTCGTCGGTGCATTACGAGAGGCCCATTGTGAGGTCACAAGAGGCCCATTTTGAGGTCACCTTTTGTGAGGTCGCGAGAGGCCCATTGTGAGGTCGTCCATTGTGAGGTCATGGATTGTGAGGTCATGAGAGGCCCATTGTTAGGTCATCCATTTTGAGATTGTTTAATGGGAGGTCACGAGAGGCCCATTGTGAGGTCGTCCATTGTGACGTTATTCTTTGTGAGGTCGTGAGAGGACCATTGTGAGGTCGTCCATTGTGAGGTCGTCCTTGTGAGGTCAAGAGAGGCCCATTGTGAGGTCGTGTTGGGAGCCGAGCCGGATTACAAGACAAGGACTCAATATGATTTTAAATCTTGCTCCGTTTATTAGCCGAAGTGCCCGTATATTTATACCTACAAGCATCTGAGGGATTTCTAGACTAGCTGTGATTGGTTGCTGGGGGGGGGGTTGCTATGTCCTGGCCGCATAGGCTCTTCTCAGCTCTGCAAAGTTGTTTACCCGAAATGGCTAGCTCCTCTTTCCCAGCTAGCCCC